ACGTTGTGAAGACTACATTGATGACTCGAGTTCATGGAGAGGCCATGAATAAGGTTGTTGCTACAATGTATGATGGAATTGCAGTCACTGTTGACCAGATTTTGACGCAAAAAGAAGGGTTGGATTTTCTCATGGAATAGAGCCTAGAGTTCTTCATAGTGCCTGTTTTTTCAACTATGGGGTACTTTGCTTTCAAGATAGCTAGGCTTGCACTTTTTAATTAGTATCTGAAGCAAAAGAAGTTTCAAAACTGTGGCACTTGCTCCCACGTTCACGTTGCCACTCAACCAAAGTAAATTCAAATTGACCTCAAGTTTGTGCGAGAGTATTAATTTGGTGAATGTTCTTCTTATATTTCCCTTTGTAGGATTAATTCAATTTTCTACGGGTATGCTTATATTAAGTTCTCGAAAAGAATGTTCTTTTTGTTTAATAAAGGTAAGGTACTTTGCTGTAATTTGTTTTCGTAAAAAGTATTCTATTATAATAATGGTTTACTACTTGTAGTTAATGCAGCAAAATATTATGGGGAAATTAGGTCCAATGCTCTAAAACGTAACCCAATTAGATTACTACCCTAAGTTAATTAAACATCACATAAACTCCGTATTAATTACTTCCTAAGCTAAAACAAAATTCCAAAATCTAACTACAGACCACAAACACGAGGCACACCACTGCAGCAATTGCGATGGTGCTGCACGAAGTATTAGGTCTATGTTTATGCTTTTGGTGTTTTGGCCGACGAGGGATGGTGGGGAGATGTCGATTGGAGTAGTTGGCTGTAGATTGGGTTTTGATCGACTTGCTGTGCAGCGATTAATTGGAATAGCCATCGTGCCTGCTTTGCCTTTGGGGAGGTGAAGGTGAAGCTTGAAGATTGTCGAATTCTGTTGATAAGTGGAGAGAAACTAAAACAAAATTTCAAAATCTCCCAACTGACTACAGACCACAAACGCGGGGCACACCACTACAGCAATTTGCGATGGCGATGCACGAAGCATTTGATCTATGTTTGTGCTTTTGGTGTTTTAGCCGACGAGGGACGGTGGGGTGATGTCGATTGGAGTAGCCGATTGTAGATTGGGTTTTGATTGACTAGCTGTGCAATGGTTAATTGGAGTAGCCATCGTATCTGCTTTGCCTTTGGGGAGGTGAAGGTAAAGCTTGAAGATTGTCGGATTCTGAGATTTTTGGGGTTGTTTTTCTTTATATGTTAAGTTAAATTTCTCATTTGTAGATAATTGGCTATGTAGAGGAAATTGCATTTACAAAGGAGATTTAGCTTCGAAAAATATGTTAATAGTTCTCTGTCCTTTAAAATGTTTATAATACAAGATAGTGTATGCAATTAGCGATTTATGTTGAACTCTCTGTTGTGCAGGACCAATTTCTTGAATCAGGTGAGAAAAGAATGAAAAGGAGATATATATTTTAATTTGCATAAATCAATTAAAAGTTCCCTTCATATCAATTGATTTCTCTCCACTATTTCTTTGTTCCTACTCCTGTGTTCATGAATCAATTACAACTTTACGCCTGCTTTCCCACGCTTCTTGAAAGTGCACTTAAATCCCACTTGTTTTTCTTAATCCACGAGCATTTCATTGTTCTGTCCATGTCATTTCACATTTTTTTCAACACGAAATCAATTAACATTCCACATTATTTTTTTGGATATGCTGAAGAAAAAAATACAGTAACACTAGTTTTGGGTTTAACTTTTTAAGTCAATTGTGATACTGATCCAAATTTTCATAGTGGATTATAATTGGAATGGAATAGACACACCTATTGTTTGGCAGCAAGTTTTTATTGGGTATTGAAGAAACGAGGCAATAATGGTTTTAGAGCCTTGGTTATTAGAGCGGTGGTGGTGGTGGTGGTGGTGGTGGAGTGGTTGAATTAGCTTAAATGATATATGTTAAGGTTTTTAGTGGTGTTTCGTCATTTTTAAAAAAAAAATGCATCACTTTTTTGAGTTTGTCACCTTTTTTTGAATTGTCACTTTTTAATCATGTGTCACTTTTTTTTATTATTTGTCACTTTTTAACATGTATAACTTCTTTTAATTTGTGCCACTTTTTTGAATCCGTCACTTTTTTTAATTTTGTCACTTTTTTTTAGTTACATTCTTGATTTCTATCATTTTTTTTAGTGACATCAATTTTTAATAAAAATGACATTGTATGTCATTTTTTAATTAAAAAAGTAACATTTAACTTTTAAAAGTGACATTGTCTCATTTCTTTTTATAAAAAAGTGACAATTTTTATAAAAAGTGACATTTTTTGTTACTTTTTTTAGTGACTCATTTTGTAGAATTGAGATTTAAGAATCTCTCAGCAATGTTGGTTTAATTGACTTAAATGAAAAGTTTGGTTTAATTGACTTAAATGAAAAGTTTAGTTGCTTTATTGAATTGATTTCAATGTTTTAATTGGTGTTTTGTCACATTTTTTAATTGTTTTCTTATTTTTTTCACGCTGTTTTAATAAAATACTTGTATGATTCACTGTGTAACATCTGAGTCTCAAAATTAGGGGTGGGCAAAAAAATCGAAAAACTGACCAAACCGACCAAACCAAACCGACTCGGGTCGGTTTGACATAGTTATTGGTTTGGTTTGGTTTTATTTTAAACAAAACAATGGTGGTTCGGTTTTGTCATGGTTTGGTTTTGTCACTTTCTTTTTTTTGTCACCTTTTTTCAGTCGTCTTCTTGAAATTTCTATCACTTTTTTAGTAACAAACATCATTTTTAATAAAAGATAAATTGCATGTATTTAATAAAAAGATGACACAAAACTTTTAAAAGTGACATTGTGTCATTTTTTTTTAAAAAAGTGACAATTTTATCACTTTTTTGTGTGTTTGTAACTTTTTCCTGCCACTTTTCTGAATTTTTTTTCACTTTTTATTGTTTGTTACTTTTTAAAAATTTCTCACTTTTTTTTTATAACAAACATATGTTTTGATTGGTATTTTGTTACCTTTTTAAGTATTTATCACTTTTTTTGAGTTTGTATCACTTTTTGAGTGTGTTACTTTTTTTGAATTTTGTCACTTTTTTTTTAAAAAAGTGACAATAATTATAAAAAAAGTGACATTGTGTCACTTTTTTATTTTATACAGTATTTTTTACTACCTAAAAACCTTTCACATGATTTTTCAAAACACCCCTAATTTTAAGGGTATTTTTGTAAGTACCCCATCAAAGAATGGGTGTCAAAGCAATTCGGGCAAATTAGGCCAAATACCCTAAAAAATTAACTAAGTTGATTAATACCCTATTAACTACCTAAAACATTTAATAACGTAATAAATACGTTAAAAACCCTCTAGCATCCCCAAAAACCTTTGAACATGCACACGGGAAAACCCCCAAAACCTTTCAAACCCTTGATCACACATGCTGAGAAATATATAGCCAATTCATGGCTACAAATGTGAGAGAGAGAATACAAATGAACATTAAACAATACAATTGGGGGATCAATCCTCAAGCTGAAGTTTGCATCCTTGTTATCCTTGGGCGTATTAAAATGTTCTTGCCTCCGAACAGCTGCCAAATAATTCTGCTGGAGATCATGAGCCAAAGTAGGGTTTATTGAGGGCAAGTAGACTTGATAGTTCACTCGTGGGACAAAATAATTGTTTGTTTGATGCTGATCACGGTTTGGAATTGGAGGGAAAATTCTTGAATCCAAATGTTCTTCATTCGATTATTTATTTTGAATTGAAGATGCCCCTTGTGCTTTCTGCTTCGCCTTGGCTTTATCTTTCTTGTGTAAATTCACGTGTCCTCTTAAAGCTTGACCGTTTGTGAAGCTATGCTTACAGAAATTACACTCGTATGATCTTCCAACTCCGGGGTTGTCATCATCATTGATTTTCTCCTCAGCGCGATCACTTTCTTGGCTAGAATTTGTGTCGGAATTTGTATGTTTTTCGAGTTCCATCTCAACCAAATTTTGCTTCCAGAAAGTCTCCCTAGGAAGTTGAAAATTACTATAGCTGAAATTTTTATATGACGTTTGAAGAGAAAGGGATGAAAACTTTTTTTTTTTTTCCAATTTTCTGTCACTTTCTTGAAATTATCATTACTTTTTTTTGAGTGGCAAACATTAATTTTTAATAAAAGTGAAACCTAACTTAAAAAGGTGACATATTGTCACTTTTTTTTATGAAAAGTATGACATTGTCACTTTTTACACAATATTTTTTACTTTCAAAATACTTTTTATATTTGCTCAAGAGAATTTGGATGTTTTCAATGAAAAATGCTATTCATCCTCAGTGGAGATACATCCCCAATCTATGTGGATGTAAATGATTGGTTAAATGATAGGTGAAATTAAATAACTTATTTAATTTCAGCTATCATTTAATGCCACATTAACGCCACATAGACTGGGGATGCATCTCCAGTGGGGATGAATAGCATTTCTCTTTCAATTGGTGTGTGTGCCACTTTTTTGAATTCGTCACTTTTTTTAAATTTTGTCACTTTTTTTAGTTTTTTGTTACCTTTTAACTTTTTGTCACTTTTAAGAAGATAACATATGAAATAATATGTTATATTTTCCTAACATAATTAACATGTGGATTTGCCTGAACGTGGTGATTATTTTAAAAACATGATTACTAGTGCTGCACAAATGGATGGTATTATTTTGGTATTTATCACTTCTTTTTTTTTGAGTTTATGTCGCTTTTTTTAAAAAAAAGGTAAAAAAGTTACAATTTTTATAAAAAAGAGTGATATTATGTCACTTTTTCATTTTACACAATATTTTTTACCTCCTAAAAATTTTTCATATGATTTTTCAAAATATCCCTAATTTTAAGGGTATTTTTGTAACTACCCGAGTAATTCAGCCTTCTGGGCCTCTTGGTTGCTTTTTGGGCTCTCACCCGATTCCCTAACAGCCCATCACTCTCCGCTTCTATCTCTCTCTCTCTTTCCCAACTCCCACTCACACTGATACCTTCTATTCAATGGCACCTCCCAAAATCCTCTTCTGCGGTGATGTTTTTGGCCGCCTTAACCAGCTCTTCAAGCGCGTCTCTTCGGTAAATAGGCACTCAAACTTATTTACATGAATTTTCATCCTAGGGTTTATAGTTTTCTCAACTACACACAATATTATGCAACTATAAATTTCAGGTGAACAAATCAGCGGGTCCATTCGATGCTTTGCTATGTGTGGGACAGTTTTTCCCGGACGCTCCGGACAAGATCGAGGAGTTCAATGAATACATCGAGGGCCGGTCGAAGATTCCTATTCCGACTTACTTTATTGGCGACTATGGGGTTGGGGCACCAAAGATATTGTCCGGTGCAGCGAAGGATCCCATGAACCAGGGGTTCAAGTTGGATGGCCTAAAAGTATGCCAAAATTTGTACTGGTTGAGAGGAAGTGGAAAGTTTACGCTTCATGGTAAATAATTACATAGAGACCCTGGAACTTGTTCATGAATTATTTGATTTTACTTATCATAAACTTTGTTGCGCTGGTAAAAAAGATGCAACCTTTATTTAGCTTGTGATTGCTTTTTAGATTATTCCATTGTAGTTAGGAGAACATGTTTATAGATTTTGTCTATGCTTTAAAATTTGTTTGGTGTACGCAACTCGTTGGATGGATGTGCAGGCACAGCATATGGGCATCTTATTTGATGTTTCTGTGATTCAACTTTATAATATTCCTTAGTGAATTGATACCAGAACATGCCAAACATATGGGGTATGAGCGACCAGTTTCATTTAGTTCATTGTCAGAGTTTTAATTAAGAATTAGGCAGTTAGCTGTCGCTCAAGAGTAAATGGACAAATGGTTTTAAGTTTGAGTATGGGATTCGAGCATTGTTTGATCTAGTGATCATGCGTGTTGTCAAGAGGAGCCGAGAAATTCCCATATCATTGTTACGAACAATTTATGGAGCTTAGTGCAACTCTTTGCATTTTCTTTGATGAGTTGAATGGTTTCCTGAATTTGACTCTTTTGCTGATAGAATGATGTATATGTTGATTGCAGAGAATCGATTGATATGCAGATAGAGGAATAATCATATAAGTCGATCATTTCATAGTTCTTCTTTTAAGAATGATGGTTGCTCACTATGCAATATATAGTTATATCTAAATAAGTGAAGAAGTGAAAACTTGTGATTTAGTTTCGAAATTTAAGGAAACATGTTTCAGTTTCGAATGTTTAATAGTGCGTCATTTCGGAGAATATATACCGGCGTCAAGAGAATATAAGAATTTGCGTGTTGATTTTCTGCTGATTTGAACTTTAGAAGTGCTCTTATTATTTCACATGTATATACGTATGCTCTTGTCTCTGTCGATGTTGGAGTGTGCACAAATACCCAAAGTTTTCACTGGACATCTCAGTATTTTTTTATTTAGCTATTTCTGATTAGTAGTTTTATTTACAAAGGCATTAAAAGATGTTATCCTGTATATCCACCAAAAATGCCAACGAAAGCTGATTTATGGTACTCCTTTCTAGGTTTGTCTGTGGTATACTTATCCGGTAGGCGATCTGCAAGTGCTCAACAATTTGGAACATACAGTCAAGATGATGTTGATTCATTGAGGGCATTAGCAGAGGAGCCAGGACTGGTGGACATCTTTTTGACATATCCTTGCTATATTCGTATTATTCGCATGAATCTCTCTCCCCCTGCCTCTCAGCCTCCAATTATTTCCTCTATAAGTAATGCATTACAGTGTGTTAATTTCCTTCACTGTATTTCACTAATGAATGGCCCAGTGGGATCACAAATAGAGCTGCTGCACCTGATGTTCCTTCAGGAATATCAGATTTATCTGGTGGCGATTCCACAGTATCAGAATTAGTCGCAGAGATCAAGCCACGGTAAGTGATCAATATTATTTTCAGTAGCAGTTTTGTTCAATTAATTTTTGGTATAGTAGCTTTGACTTCGGGAAGTGGTTTTACGTCTCTTCTAAGAATTATTGGGAACCATGGTCATATAAATAAGAGTTGTACCAGCTTGCACAAACTATTCACCACTGCATCTCTTATCTTTACATTGATATGCTGCTCATGGGTGAAATCCAACATAAATTCGTTCTTTTATGTCAATTTTTATCAACTGGGAATTAACATGAATGGGTAACCAAAAGTAAGGACTGATCTTTATGGTAAGAGTTCAGGGTTCAGTTGACATCATAACTAGAACCGAGATTATGTCTTTAACAATCTCTGTAAGAGTCAACTAGGAGGAAGAAAGACAAAAAAGGTATTAGCATGGTTTAAAAGAACACATCATAACTAGAACCGAGATTATGTCTTTAACAATCTCTGTAAGAGTCAACAAGGACGAAGAAAGACAAAAACGGTATTAGCATGGTTTAAAAGAACTATTTCAGGCTTATGTCTCGAATCCCACTTGACATGAGGCTGTCATAAAACACCTCATAACCTGCACCTTTAAAGCCAATTTTGAGGCTTACACCTCGTTTTACTGAGGCTTCAAACCAAGTAAGGTATTTGCTCGTTTGCTTTTCAGTTTTCAAACATTTCATTATTGACCTTAGCCTTTTGAGTTATTTCTTTACACCTAAAATGTTTTCCACCTTTTATTTTCTTTCTTCTCCCTATGGAAGGAAAATGGGAAGAAAGAATACACCATTATAATTGGAGGAGAATGAAAAGAAACTCACAATGAAGATGATGATCCTGTTAGTAGTGATGATATAAGAAAATTTTAGTAGTCACTATTTTGTTAAATGATTACTACTTGAGAACTTATTATCTTCTATTATTCTTATCTCTTTTATGTTTGTTAGAATTTTAATTTTGTTAGTTAGATTTATTATGGATTTTATAAAGGGTTCTTGGTATACTATGAGCATATTTTTGTATTTTATGTTCTTTTGAATTCTTTTAACTTGAGCTTATGCCTTAGAGCACCTCTAGGCTTATGGCTCGACTCCAGAGATAACTTGAACCTTTTCAAACATTAGGTATTAGATACAAATGAAAGCGAAGTTAGAAAGAATGAATTCAACAAGATACAAAGAGGTGAAATTACTAATTAAAACACAGATATACACACATTATTAAAATAAGAATAAATTTAGTAGTTGACAGCATGGTTTAAAAAGGCAGTAGTGAGGCGCGCCTCACCGTGAAGCGCATATAGTATGCCTTGAGGCGGTATTTTTTAGGCTAAAAATACGAGGCTCAAGCCTCTAAATCTGAAACACACGTCTCAAGACGCGCGCCTCATGGAGCATAAGGCGTGCACCTCATTTAATAAGAGACTTTGGATGCCTAACTCGTTTTCAATAAGAGAATTTGGATGCCTCCTATTATAAGTGTTCACAATCATAGTAGTCGAGCAAGTCACCACTTGCTCTTGTGTCGGTGCCGGACTTGATTCCTCTGCCATTACTATTCCGGTGTCTTTTTCTGTCAACCCAACTCCCTCTACAGCTGTAATCATGTCTCCCTCAATCGCAATTGCCCCGTTCTTCTCAAATGTCTCATTCGGTGTCATCACAACTGTACTCTTTGTTCTATGTTCCCCTCCCTTCGATGAAGGTTCCGCCTCCCGAGATGCCTCATACCCCGAGTATTTTTCATCCATATCCATCCCCATAATCTCCTCCCTCGTCATTTCCATTACACTCCACGTCATATCGTACCTGATTCTCTCTGATGGGTTCAATCATCACCTGCGTTTCTTTAGTTTGAAACAATTTTGATTGTATCTCCTTAGCTGGATACTCAGACATACCAGCCCCGCACTTATGACAACAAATTTTCTTGGAGCCTTCTAGAGTACCACCTCCCAGTAGTCTCAGCAATTCATCCACCTCACCTTTCAACCCCTGGACGCGAGCCCTTATTTCAGCATTACTCAATGAACTGTCTAAAGCACCTTCTGGCGTTATCTCCTTCAATTTATGCATCAAAGGATGACCCCTGTTATCCTTTTGTAACAACACTGGTTTTTTCGTGTTCTGGTTTGCCGTAACTTCAGCATAGGTCCTCCCTTGTTGATTGCTGACTTTAACCGTTTGACGCTTAATTTTGCCCCTAATGACAAAAAAATCGACAACTGCCTCAAACATTCGCAGCATCGACGCTCATCCCTCTCCATTTGCACCTTCCGGTACCATCACCACTCCTTTACGACACCTCTCCCCATATTGTGCTATCGTCAGATACCTACCGACTGTTACCACAACACTGCACCATAAAAGCTCTCGATGATTCAGTAAACTTGGCAATAAACTCCTCTTGCTTGCTTGCCACCCTCAATTTATCCATCATATTCAACGTCCACAAGGCACCAAACCTACACATATATATTGCATTCGATGTCCTCGGTCTCCATTCGGTCAACCTAACAATGCCGGGTTCATTAATAGACACAAAAAACTCATTTGCTTCCACTCCAATTCGAAGGTGAAACTCCTTTGTACCAAAAATATCCGCATGCCGTTGAAATGGTGCGTCCGACAGTAGAACGGGGGGCTGGAATGACCTAGGCAAATCACGCACTACCCACTGTCTGCCAGTCGCCGGCGCGTGAGTTGCACGTGCGGCCGGAGCTCTACCAGGGAGTTGCGCCGCCTTCGCCGGGGTCGGAATGACCTGAACTGCCGTCCGGTCAGGCGCGTTGGCCCAATAGATGGCCGAAGCATGAGTTATTTCTGGATCTTGGGCGGCGGCGCTAGGGTTTGCACCTAGGGCCGCCGCCTGCGTGTGTTCTCCATGGGCGGGTTGGCCCTGGTTTATTGGCGTGAGGCCGGTTTGTGGTGGTGGAGGAGGTGGGCTGGTGGGTGAGCAAATGATTTTGGATGTTGAGGGAGAATTTTCCATTCGGGAGAGAGCGTGAGCTAAGCAAGCTTCTTATGCAGTTGAGTTGTGACACAGCCCTGAAAGATCTTGCTTCAATTTGGAAATGTCATGATTCCCATTATTGATACTAGCATGGATATTTTTTGATTTGCATAAGATCCATATTCCATATAAAGAAACTATGGTATGAAGTTTAGTTTCATTGAGTTGAGTTTATCCTCTTAAACAAACTGAAAGTTAAAAATGGATATCCAGCTAGATAATACAAATCTATTGGTAAATAAACGATGGGTAAGTTTACCTAGCAAAAGAATTCAGTAGACATTTCTATGCTGTAGATGAAGATGAAGATGTTTGATAGTGTGACACTACTGTGTTTGGACAATACCAAAACTTGATTAGTGATAAGTTACTTGAGTGAATATGTAACTAGAAACTGCTCCCTAATTTAAGGTTTCTTCTACCGTAGATACCATGTTGCAGGAACTATGGCCGTCTTTTATGCTCGTGAACCATATATCAATACTGATGCTGTACACGTGACTCGTTTTTTTGGCCTTGCTCCAGTGGGAAATAAAGATAAACAGGTTTCGTTCTTTTTCTGATGTTACTTTTCTGAACTTCTCTAAGCTGTGATATTGTGCTGTTTACGCACTGTATAGTTTCTTAATATTGCTCCCCTTGCTTTCTAAATCTTCCTTGCCTCAAGGAAAGTATTTAATTTGTTTAGAGTTGCTTAATATGCTTCTTCAACACTGTATTGAATCATTTCATAGCTCTTTGTTTCTTTCTTTCTTCCAGAAGTTTATGCATGCAATTTCTCCGATGCCTGCTTCTATGATGTCGACTTCTGAGCTTTGCACGAAGCCGCAGAATGCTACTTTGTCTCCATATACAGTTGTGGACAAAGCAAGCCCCACCAATGGAGCAACAAAGAGACCTGATGATTCTGATTCGCAGTATTGGCGGTATGATGTCTCACGGAAAAGGCAAAAACATGGAGATAGTGATGGTGATAAATTGTGCTTTAAATATGTATCGTCTGGGTCTTGTCCGAGAGGCGAGAAGTGCCATTTTCGACATGATACAGATGCTAGGGAACAGTCTCTGAGGGGTGTCTGTTTTGACTTTTTAAACAAAGGACAGTGTGAAAGAGGCCCAGATTGCAATTTTAAGCACAGTTTACAAGAAGATGGAGAAGGATTTCCTAGTGGGAGATCTGGATCTCGGACAGGAGGCTCTAACAGGTCAAAGTTTACTGAATTTCTTTAATCTAATTTTTTAAATTTTGAGATGTTACAGTTCAAAAATTAATCCACTGATATTAAAATTATTTAATTGGAGAAAATAATTTCGCTAGGATTTGAGACCACGGTGTTAAAATAATGGGAAATGCCGGATGTACCAAGGGGGTGGCTACCGAATGTGCTACCCCCCTCACAAAAATCCGACCCCACATGAATATAATAATGCCGACCTCGTGGTCCCCACTTTCTGATGTGAGTGGGGTGTAAAAGATTAGGTAAAAAATTATGTACACGTAGCACGACCCTAAAATAATAGACAAATTAACTTAGCTATCACAAGGATTGCAAATTCAAAAAAATTCCTTGTGAGGATACCAATCCATCATGAAGACTTGCGTAATGCTTTATGGATTTGGATAAGGATTTATTGTCCATTATATATAACTCAAAAGCATCAAAGAAATGTTGGATTTGCAATTATGGGTTGGAAAACCAAAGGACCAACTTTTTCAGGTTGCAATAGAGTGTAAAAGTTTGCCTGTTTAACTTCAGTATTGGCTTGCACAATTACTTTCGTGGTGTTTTCCCATTTGCATGGTAGAAATTAAGGTGAAGCTTGATCCCCATTTTTTTCAAAATACATTTTTTTCTCTCTTTTTTTCAATCACACATTCTTCAATAAAATAATATTACACGCTAATCCAAAATTTTTCCTTATTTTTTAACTACACTTTTTCTATCAATATACTATTCTAATACATTCTTAGAAAATAATGGGGCTCAAACAAGCTTTAACTATGATAACGGTTACTTTGTTTCAGGTCCAAGGAATGCTGGTTTTGTTTGTCAAGCACCAGTGTGGAGTCTCATTTAATCACTACTATAGGAGAACACTACTATTGTGCACTTGCTAAAGGACCATTAGTACAAGACCATATTCTAATAATACCTGTTGAACATTCACCAAACACACTTTCTCTACCATCAGAATGTGAAGAGGAATTATCTAGATATCAAAGCAGTCTTAAAGCTTATTTCAAGAACCAAGGGAAGGAAGTAGTTTTCTTTGAGTGGGTTTCCAAAAAAGCAACTCATGCAAATCTTCAGGTACTGAAATTATACTCTTTCCTTTATGGTAATCTTAATGGTGGCATCAAGTTGCTTGTTGTCTTTTGTTTGTCATCCTCTATAGAAAATTCAAAACTGGATCGGACAGTGTAAAATGACTGGGAATCATTGTTTCGGCTGCATACTATGACATCTTATAGGTCTGAACATGGCTATCTGCAGCTTGTTACTCTTACCGTTAGTTAACATTTAATGATTTGTTATAGTTACTATCTTTTAGGGGTGGCAACGAGCCCAACCGGCCCATAGACACCCGAGCTTGGCTCGACCCTATGGACGAGCTGAGCTCCCTTTGGCTAGTGAGCCTCATGAGCCGGGCCACCTCTTTTTCTATTTTTTAAATAAATTATTAAGTAAGCCTAAAAAGGAGCAATATTTTAAGAAATTAATAAAATAAATCCAAAAATAAGGAATAAAAAATGGGCTGGCCGACTAGCCCACTCGTTTGGGTTCATTGGCTCGTACCCGAGAGAACCAGCTGAGCAGACTCTGCTCATTAAAAAAATGAAAAAAACAAAAAAAAGGAGCTTGGCTTTGCCCATGGCTTGTCTCAAAACGAGCCCAAGCCCCCCTTGACTGAGTGGGGACTGGCCGAACCACGAGCTACTCGGCCCGTTTGCCACCCACCCCTGTTTTTTTCAATTTTTCTTTTACATTCAAAAATTTGTACATTGATTATGTGAAAACTTTATTATTAACCAAGGTTTATCAAACTAACCTCTTGTGCACATTTCCATTTTCTATTTTTGCTTTCAGGCTGTTCCTATTCCATCATCTAGAGCATCTTCTGCTGAAGATATTTTTAATTTAGCTGCTAAAAAGATGGGTTTCAAATTTTCCACAATCAAAAGTAAGGCTTTCTTGACCTGCTGCAATATGTATAAACTTCTGAACAGTTCTGTGACTATAAATACTCGTAAGGTGTTTTTGTTGGCTCTCAATTTCCATTCAGTAACATAGTAGCTGTGTGGCTGTCACGTGGTCTTTATTATGACTGGTTGCAATGACTTAAATAGATGATATACTTGCCAGTTGCCTCCATAGATGAGTAGGAAAGGTTCAACTTCCCTTTAGTAGCAACACAGGATGCCAAATTTTTCTTCTCCCTTTTTCTGAGTTGATAATGCATTGCAACACATACTCAAGTTCCATCTGTGCATTCAGAAAAGTGGAGTATATCATCTCAAGCCTTATAAACTTATCGTACATCTAATAGGTTTCTTCTGGCATCTTCTTGTTTTTTACTCAGTAACATAACATATGTGCAACTGAGAGTGGATAAAAATAGCTTGCTAGCGTTGCAGATGCTCAATCTTAAATATGTTCTGAATCTCAATTGGACGGCGCATCTCTGGAAAATTGCAATCCCTAAACGAATGTGTCTTTTTGTACTGTGGTTCCTCGTCTCCAACAGTTTTATTCATTGCAGATTCAGAAGGAAGGAAAATGTTGCGTTTGCATTTCGACAGGAATTTCAGTTTATTTTATGTGGAAGTTCCTGGGGGTACAATCTTGTCCCATGCTGTTGAGGAGAATGAAAATTTTCCTGCCCAGTTCGGTCGGGAGGTATGTTTTCCCTTCCAGGAAACTATTATGATTATAGAGATTATTTATTTTCCAGAGAGGTGATCAAATGGATGATCTAGGTTTAAAGGAAAAGGTTCATCGAAGGATAAATTTAATGCATTATAGATGCTATATTAGTTGAGTGCTTACTGATTGTACTTTCAAAAAAGTTCGTGAGATCAATGTTTAAAAAAGGCATAATTGGGTACTGTGTCATTTTATCACCGGGAGACAAGAATGAAGCCTCGAGGTGCTTTGAGGCACTAGCCTCAAGATACAACAATACAAGAATTCAAAAGAATACACAAATACAAAAACATGCTCATAATATACCATAAACCCTTTAAAAGCACTCCATAATAAAACTGACAAAATTATGTCTAACTTGCAAATAACCATAAATAGATGAAGAGAGTAGATAATAATTTCTCTCAAATTAGTAATCATGTAACAAAATTATAATTTATTATTGAAAGTGGAACAACTTAAAAATTTCTTACATCATCACTACTAATAATCATTGACATCATCATCATCCTTATTATAAGTTTATATTCATTCTCTGTCTCCTCCAATTGCAATTTCGTGTTCTCCCTCCACGTGTGTAGAAAAAGAAAATAGAAGACCCCATTAAACATTTTAGGTTATAAAGAAATAACTTAAAAAGCTATGGCCAATAATAAAATGATTGAAAAAAGCAAGGCATGCGAGCCAACACCTTAGTTGGCTTGAGGAGTAAGCTCGCAAATGGCATTTAAGGTGTGGGTTTTTAGGTGTTCTATGATAGAGTGGGATTCGAGACGTAAGCCTAAAATGTCTTTTTAAACTATGCGTGAGATACTAGGCTTCGTGGGTGACGTTGCCCTAGTGATGCTTGGTTCTTACAGTTTCTTTCCTTGTTTCCATCAAATATTCCATCCTTAACTTGGTACATGTTTGACACTCTTTAATTTATTTTATGGTTTCCTACAAGACCATTTTCAACCACACATTCGCACAATAAAATATTATACATCTATATCAAAAACTTTTCCCTACTTTTTAACCACACACTCTCCTAAAAATTACTATTCAAAACTCTTTTTTCTACCAAAATGGTTTTCAAACAGGCTCTTAGTTTCCATTGATCACAACTTACACCACCATAGTCTTACCATTAGCCTGTGAAGGTACAACTACAATCTACTAATGGAATTGCCAAATTTGTTCTCTACTATCACGTGTTAGTTATACTACATTCTTTCTTGTAAATGAACTTTCATTTTTTTCTTTTTTTATTTTTGAATTAAGAAAGTATTATCCGAGTACTCCAATACTTGCAGAATAGTTCCACAGACATTCTAATATTAGCTTAACATTTTCATATATCACAACTTCATTAACTTTTGAGCCTACTCATCAGCTTGTTGTGAACTTTGACAAGTCACATGTTTGATGGCTAGACACAGACCTACCTGTTAGCATATGAGCATAATAACAATGGATTTTTATTTTGACCTTTTAAGTTTTATCACGACAGCCAACTAGGTAACTGATGTGCAAAACCATTTGGCAGGCTAATATTATAGTTAGGTGGAGGCCAAGGCCTTGCTCAAGTGCTAAGAGCAAAGCCTTTCCAGGCCAATGGGACCTTTAGTCCCCCTTGAAACTTGTATATCCTCTCTTTTTTCCTGAGCACCGTCTATTCTCATTTTAATCCAATGAAAAATAAAATAAATTTACCTCTCTCAAATTGTAGGTTATGGCTGGGTTGTTGAATGTAGCTGATAAGGCTGACTGGAGGAATTCTCAGCTCAGCAAAGATGAAGAAACAAAAATGGCAGAAGATTTTAAGAGTCGATTTGAGGAGTATGACACAAATCGTTGATTTTTACAACAGAAGGTATGTAAGGATACCATTGGAAGTAATGCCCTGGCAAGTTACAACTCACTTTTCAATTTTGTTTACTTTTGACCTTTTGATTGTTGCTAGTAATTATAGCTGTCAACTTATATATTGCTCATATTTTTACTTATAATCTCATCCTCCACATAGATTGTGATTTTGTTTGACAGGATTCGGATTATCATCATTCTGGAAGCTGGATCATGTGTACCTACTAACGCAGAAAGCCATCATCCTTAGTGGATCTTATGGTACCTATTTGGCAGTGTCTGACCAAATGACTCGACCAGCTGAGATTACGAGTACTTACATTATAAGTTGATTCATGCTGTTTACGGGCCACCGTATTTTTTCCTCGTATAAGATTGTTATGTTGCACAATCTTTATACGAAGAGGAATTGCGGTGTTGACGATGCAGGCGTTGTCTCTCCATCTCTTGCAAGATCACTGAAGGTCCAAATATGCTTGAATGGAACTTTGATGACATCTTTTTCTTTTTCTTCCTTCAGTTTGAGGCCTCCGACCTTAATTATATTGTCATTCGAAGTTAGTTTTGCTCGTTCTTGATATTTGTCTTGGTTTTGGATAAAATATTTGAAACTGTCCCTGATTTTAGGTTTGTTTTTTACCTCTCAAACAATGGCTGAAAAAATCAATTGAAACCTTCAGGATGAAAAGAAGGCTATGTACACCTGTTTCACCTATTTTGGTGAAAAAAATGATTTGAAATAGTGATTGATGTATGAATGTGTAGTTAAAAAAATAGAGAGAATTTTTGGATTTATATGTTATAGTATTTTATTAATAGAATGTGGTAGAAATGAAGAAAGAAAAAAATGAAAAAGAGTGATAAAAAAATGGATGTCAAACAAATAAATAGCTTCATAGAAAAGAAAGCATATTCAAAATTGAAAGAGTTTTGCTATGGGTACATAGCAAATCACATAAAGTTTCACATAATGGCCACCCGCAATTGAAAAGGCCTGTCTGCTGATCTCCTGAGCAATTTGCTGAATTTCTCAAGCCACTGCTTCACAAGAATTTCAGAAGTGGACGAACATTACCAAATTTTGTTGTGTGTAGTGAGGAATTATGTCCAATAGAAATCCCAAATAGAATGATTATATATGGGGCCAGGCTAAATGAATGGAGAGACTACTGACTAGCCAGATGGAGAATGGGGAAATTAAATCAGTGTAACAACATAATGCATGCAACACAACATCTAGACAAATACAACATGATTTTTTTTTTTTTTTTGCAAATATTCAAGCTACCAATTCTGTCAAGCCTTCGAACATTCAAGCATGTGGTCTTTAAATTTTTGCAACTCCTCTATAACCTCCTCCTCAGGTCTGTACAGCAAATCTGTCATACGCCATATCTGGAAAGACCACAAACAATTTCACAATTTCACGTCGGATTAGAACAAATCAACCAACAGAAAATTGTACCAATAGGGCAACATTCTAATACCTGTAAAGTACCACCTCCACCAGAGGATTCTCCATCATCAGATACACTAGCAACTGTCCATGGGTCAGAAGCATTCCAGTGGAAGTCAACAACCTTATCTCTGGAATCAAAGTATTATTTGCATTAAGTTCAAATTAATTCACAGGTCCTTAAAAGCAGTTCCAATAGGAATTACATGTCAGACTAGAAGAAAATGACGTTCACAGTTAAAGCACAAAGTGAAAATGTACAACAGGTCTCCTCAAGCAGTTCCAATGGTAATTACGTGTCAAATAAACTATAAGAAAATGAAGTTCACAGGGAGGAAAGCAAAAGCAGAGAGTGAAAATGCACTCTCTGAAGTTATTAATGAACGCTAGCATCCATCCAGTATGATGCAATTTTTATGTCTGTTTCCACAGGATGCATATGATACATAGTTCTCCAGGATTAATTTTCTCCATTACCTGCTGCTTTCTAATATTAATTGCACTTTTTTAGGTACATGCCATCTAAATTTTAACAATTTAACACATCATGAATCTAAAGAAATTCAAGTCAGTAACTCTAGCATACGAATCATTGCTCTCCATATTGTGAACAAGAATACTTCAATAATAAATATAATGTATCGGCAGATGAGAGTAAGGGCACGTGACAGCAAGATCCTACACTAAAACAAAAAAAAGTACGCGGTACTCGTTTTGCTAAGAGAAAGGTTGGAACTTTCTAACCTGTGGCCAGCATGTTGGAAAAACAACCCTGGAGGAGCATTTGGAGATTTGGACCCACTTTCTTTCTTTTTATCAACCTGAAATATGGTAACCAAGATAAAAGTGTTCAGAAATCCATCAGTGTATATTAAGATCGCTATAAATTATCTCGTGTTAGGTGAGAACGAAGTTATTCTAGTGTTGATTTGTTGATGGCCTTGAACAATTACATCTTTAACATGATACGCACACTCGAAATTATTTTCTGTACAACAGGTTTGACGCATCAACCTTCTGATAGCAGTTAATACCACAATGAGAAGAGTGGAAAAGAGTACTATGAAAATCAGGAGCTTCCCACCTTCTCATAATCCCAGATGTTCAACAGACCATCTTCTGCTGAGGACCCAAAGACCGAGCGTTTGCCTGGTGACCACTGGAATTTGTATAATTGGTTAAAGTTAAGTGAACAAATAGATTGGGCATGCATAGTCGGAAAAAATATAATCAGCAAAGGCGAATGCAATACCTGGACACAAAGAACAGAAGATGTATGACCTGCAAATTTATGGACAGGCAATCCGACTCCATCAGAGTTTAAATTGCGGCGATCAAACATGTGAATTGTATGATCCGCGGACCTGAATGACTGAGATTGCATAAGAACCTAAATCTTTGATGAACTTAACTTGCATAAAAGAACGAAAGACACATTATCAAATGTTACATATAAATACTTTTATGATCATCATATGGGGGATATATGCATATTTAACAGACCAACCCACCCAGTTAGGATATAATTTTCATCGTGAGAATTCCAATCTACACAATGAAGATCAGCACTGTGCGCTTTTTCAACCTAGTCATGATACAAAGATTAGTAACCCAGGTCAGAAACAGTAACTAAACTGAATTTGAAATTTAGTCTATATGTCAACAAAATTTGAAGAATACAAGACATACAAAATAGAATAAAAACATTGATAAAATAAAGAAGGATAATAGTACTAAACATAAAAATTCTTATAAATATCCTTCAACCAGTACAGAATATTCAAATATTTTAATGGACTGACTAATGGAAGAACAGGTCAGCTTTCCAGAAAGGTTATGGGGAAAATAATCTGATCTAATTTGATTCCGAAGTACTGCACTGAACTTGAAAGGGACAAAAGTTTTGCAATTTCCGATCAAAAACTCCACACAGAATCTACTGACGAATAATCTAGCGTCGACGTAGGCAGAAGATGGGGTAGGAATACAGCACAACACTTAAACTGCTTCAGAAGAGAGACATATCTATACCTTACTACCTTACTCGATGATAAAGAAGTTGACATGTGTATATGGAAATGCTAATAAGGTACTTGTCAATTTGACAATATTATTCGAATAAAGTATACATTGCAAATATATAATATTAATGTTGAACCAATTTAACTAAAAGCTCAAGTTGTTGATAAGATGACACGTACAACATTTAAATATTCCTTCAACATGCCTCACATGTGGGTGGGATTTTTTTTTTTTCCATCAAAGTCTTAACATAAACACAATTTCTTTAAAATGGGTGGCGATGGAACATGAACCCAGGACCTTTACATGTTTTCATGCTATGTTATCACCGATCTAAAAGTTTAAGATGTCAGATAATGGTATGTGTATAGCATTTAATTATTGCATTCAACAATATATAAGACAAATGCAACCAAAAGATGCTTCAAAATTCAGGCATTAATATCTCGTCACAAATTAAAGGAAGTTGTTACACTCAAAATATAAATATCAGGTCATCTAGCAAAATTCCTTCTTCAAATGAGACTAATGTTTCGAAAGTTCAAACAGAGTCAATCATACAAGTCTTAATGTTATATTTTTCGGGAAAATGTCCCTTTTAATTTACTGTTGCAGGAGAATCAAAGATTCAAAATATTGTTCAGCTGTACACAGTAGATGAGTTAAAGCACTTGATGAGAATGCAATAATAACCTAATTCATGAGCCCCAATGCAGCCTAATGTCAATGAGTCCATGTTCAAAGAATATTGTGGTCTATCCTAAAGAATGGAAAAATTGCATAATATCAAGCATTAAAGAAAATGGATCATCTAACCTTCACTACGGGACCACATCCTATCCTTGCATCCCATAGTATCAAACAAGAATCATCTCCAACGCTACAAAACTGCTGCGAACTTCATCAGCATGACAAATATATCAGATTCAAGTCGCCACTTCAAAAACTTATAACAGCATTACATATTTAGGAAGAAAAGAACAGATACTCAAGATAGCTGCAACATTTTCATAAGTTCGAAGAAACACGTCATAATAAATGTGTCAGTAAAAGAAAATAGAAAGGGAAAAAAGGAAAGCAAATGGCCTCATGATTAATCACCAAAGCAGCCTTGAAGAAAATAATAAGTCGCAGACAATGATGAGGATCAAAAAACTTTGGTTTATATATAAAATATAAATACACGTGTAATCCATCAAGTTAATGATGCATGCAAGATACCTGGACGGGCAAAATTGCACATCCTCAACTGTATCATCATGCCCTTGAAAAACCCCTCGGGGACTAATAGAAGAATTATCAGCAGCTTTTACAACTGAACCAGCAGATCCTGTTAATTGGCCAGCATCTGTGGCCAATGTTGAAACATGATCCTGAATGCTCCACAACACCACAGATTTATCTTTTCCTGTCAGAAATTTCATTGTGTCAAAACAACAAAGCTTAGTAGAGAATGCCAGAAGAATGAAACTATTCCAGATGATTAAAAAGGAGAAAATAATAGATTCATTATTCATACCTCCTGAAAGCACAAAGGGTTCAGCTGGGCACATTGCAAGTGCAAATTCTGCATTATCTTGGTGTCCAGATAACACCTAGAAGAAGGCAACAGGTTATGTTCCATGGTCTTTACCTCAGAAAACACACAACCAATGAACCAATAGAAAATTAATCTAATACACTAGAGTTGCCACAGGAAGAGAGCAAATTGCCAATGTAGATTTGAATGAGAATGGCTTCAAGTTACAGCAGGAGAAACTGGAATAGAACACGACAACAGAACCTTAAAAAAAACAAGTTTTAAAAAGGAACTGTTCAAGCGGTAGCTAGATAACAGTGACATTATTGTATACGTATTCTCATTGCAATCCTCCTTTAGAGTAAGGACTACCAAATCATTTCTTGTGGAACTCATGATTCTAGAAAGTGGTACAGTTTGTTGCAAACCCTTCACCACATGCAGAATATTATCTTAGAATTTGACTTGGGAGCAAGCCATTTTTGGAAAACACCATGTCCAGAAGCACCAAAACATTATTTTATTTTATTTTCATCTTGAAGAAATTTCTATTAGGATTCAAGTCTAGCATCCAAAACTAAAATAGACTTCCTACAGCTTTGAAAATTGTACGAAGCCATACTCTGGATATGAAAGTAAATTGACTGAAAGTAGTGTAGCTTTTAATATATCAAGGCATTATTCCATAACCAATTGCAACGAGCAATGCATCAATGTGTCAAATATACTCAATAAAAGACTTGATGTCCCTCTTTGTCATTAGATAGGACTAAAATAACAACCAAATATGGAAGCAATCAATTACAATATTAATTAATGGTACAAACAATCTATCTATATCTAATACAATTATAATAATTTAATCGTAATCTTCGACGATTTTCGAAATTTTATTCAAGCTCCTTGACAGTTAACTAGCATATGGATAATACTCA